CGCGGCGCACCCCACCTCCGCTCCCCGGCTCGCGACCTGTACTGGCACCAGGTCATGATGCTCGACATCGCTGCCCTGCTCGCGTTCGCCGTGGTGGCGGTGCTCCTGGTCGCCTTCCTGGTGGTCAAGTGCGCCGTCTTCTTCTTCCGCAGCAGTGGCCAGCGGGGCACAGAGCCCCTGAAGAGAACAAAGAAGGACTAAAGCTAGTTTTTTACGGTATATTTGGAATTTAAGAGTTCCAGAGTTTCTAGTCAAAACGCAACGCACGCTCAATATATTTTTGGGGTATAAACTCCTCAAACCCTAAGGTGATGTTCCGTGCTTAAAATGAATGAGACAATTATTTCTTTTCGCTCGATAACTCAATTGTTGTACGCTCGCCGCTCGCCTCATTCAAAGAGAGTAAATTGTTTCTGATCTCGCCCAATAATTGTGTGCAGCCTCACCCCTGGAGAGAAGGCCGTAAATTATGTGTCAAACCGAGCGAGAAAAATAGTGTCGCTTCTTAAAGAACAAACTTTTAAGCGGCGCTGATCTCGCTCTCCTGAGAGCAAGATATCTGATTCTCAATTACAGTGTATCGGGTATTTTAGAGCAGACAATGCAGTGTTTTGGGTTTCCACCCGGGCACCCGCGGGCCAAGAGAATATGCAAACCCGCAACACTGTAGTGACTGGTCGGAAACACGTGGTACACACAGTAGAGTCACCACCAACATTCTCCTCAGTGAACTGACTCGTAATTGTCTCCAAGTATTTCAAGTGATAATACAACATATTTTTTTTAATCTGAAAAAAGTTAATGCATTTTCAAGGAGGCATAATGCTTCACCCACTTATCCCCCCACCAAACGCCAAAGAACACCTAAAATCGTATGTCATCTTTACCGACCAAACCACCCGCGATAGCCTCATAAGTCAAGTGCAGAGTGGTCAAGTGGCTGTGGGCTGTGGCCGGCTGTGGCCCACCAGTTAACCAGTCAGTCCGTCCCGTCAGCTATCGCGATGCAGCACGCCTCGCCGGCCCGCGCCTCCGCGCCACAGAACGTCGTGGTTCTCGCGGCCGCCTTGCTCCTCCCGCTCCTGCTCATGCAGTGTGTCTCTTCGACCGCACCTGAAGTGAAGACGACCGCGGCTGCTCCCGCGGCAGGAGCGGCCCCCCCTCGGAAGCCGCTGCGCATCCTCTCCATCATTAGCCTGGCCCAAAAAAATTTCGATAACTCCATCGGTGGGTTTTTTGAAAGGTAATACGATGCTGATTACGTTGGTCTTTGTTCGGGCGCTCTGCGATGTCGGGAACCCACCGCGCATCGGCGTTCAAGATTTGGGCCCGCGTGGGGTCCGAGCGGGGCGGCGGCTCGCGGACGGCTGTAGCGGCGGCGGCGCGCGGCACAGGTGAGTCATATTCACATCAAATGTAACCCAGGGGGCCCTCTTTCGAACACCACCCGTCCGGTGGCCGTGCGCCGTATCGTTCGACCTGGCGAGAGAGTTAAAGCCTCCCGGAGTAG